GATCTGCCACAGCCAGGGGGGCCGGGGCCAGGGCCAGGACCAGGGCCAGGGCCAGGGCCAGGGCCAGGGCACGTGCGGTGCCCCCGGGGGCGGGGCCAAGGCTGGCCCGCGGAGCAATCTGGGCTGGCAGGTGCCAGCCCCGGGCGCATGTAAAGAGCCCGGCGGGCGCCATGGCGCCCGCGGGCACCAGGTTGGGGACCACGGCCTTAAGATATAAATATATATTTTATAGCTGGTGATCTTCACCATAATATTTTTACTCACTTAAGTATGAAAAACAAAATACTCACATTTTTGCCCTAAAAAAGAATTATGGACATGGCTCATAAAAAGATATCCAAAATTGGGTGGTATTCCTGCATGATTTTTTACATGCGACTCCGAGTAAAGATTCATATCAATATACGGTATAAAAGAAAATATTTTAATTGGGCACATGCAAACATGTGGTAAGGATTTAGGTAGTATTGATTTATTTGCAGATAATCTACTACAGATCTAGAATATCCTCTCATAATGCCTATACAGGCAGTCCCCGGGTTACGTACAAGATAGGGACTGTAGGTTTGTTCTTAAGTTGAATCTGTATGCAAGTCGGAACTGGCGTCCAGATTCAGCCACTGCAGGGGGCAGCCCCGTTCGTAACTGCGGATCCGACGTAAGTCGGATCCGCGTAAGTCGGGGACTGCCTGTACAAAGCTTAGTCACATGAACACCTAGCAATCTTTCTACGGAATGGACTATCCCTCTACCTCAAAATTAGAGATAGCAGATAGCTATGCGGGTAATGTATTAATTTAGATTGAATATATAGCCCCAAAGGTTTTTTCATAACCCAGTGTTTGTCCAACATTAAACGATATAAAAAAGGTTTAGCGTTTGATATAATAAAGAGCCTATACCCTGCTTAGAACTGTGGCAAACACACCACTAAAAATCCTGTAAAACTAATTAAATACAGAGGAAAAGAAGGAAAAATAAAGTGTTTGAAATATAAAGTATTAGTTAAGGCTTTTATTTTTAATTGCATTTGTCTGCATGCAACTGCTTTTAGTAGGAAAAAAACCTTTGTCTGATAATCTGGTTAGGCCATGTCTACATTGACAGATGTAAAGTGCTAGTAGTTACAAAGTACTAGCTGCTCATAGAGCACTGCAAGGTGTTGTAAAGCAGGCTTATTCTGTCCATAGCCTTCGCGTATAGCCCATCCTGCCACACAAGGCCCCTAACAATAAACCCAGATACTCAGAGGAGCATGGGCAGCACAATGCAGTTTTGTGAATGGAATTTGATCTTATAGGCATTCTGGGACTCACAGGCGCCAAAAAAACAGGAGGTGAGCATGACTAGATAGTGCTTACAG